AATTGTGATGATTATGGCGTACAGCTGATGAAAACCCCAAATTAACAGTATCAGATAATTGGAATATTAAATGAAATCAGCAAAACAAGGATTGCAAATAGAGCAATATTGGACCTCTGAGAAGTAGAAGCATGCATATTTACTCAGTACAGTGGTACCTCAGGTTAAATACTTAATTTGTTCCGGAGGTCCGTACTTAACCTCAAACTGTTTTTAACCTGAAGCACCACTTTAGCTAATGGGGCTTCCTGCTGCTGCCGCACCGCCGGAACCCGATTTCTGTTCTCATCCTGAAGCAAAGTTCTTAAGCTGAACCACTATTTCTGGGTTAGCGGAGTCTGTAACCTGAAGTGTATGTAACCTGAGGTACCACTGTACTTGGTTTGGGCCCCTTTTGCATCAATTACTGCCTCAGTGCAGCGTGGCATGGATGCTATCAGCCTGTGGCAACTGCTGAGGTGTTATGGAAGACCAGGATGCTTCAATAGCAGCCGTCAGCTCTTCTGCATTGCTCGGTCTCATGTCTCTCATCATACTGAAATAAATGAACTTTTCCACGATATTCTAATTTTTCAAGTTTCACCTGTATACATGTGCAGTGCTTAGCTTAGATGTAGCTTAGATGTTCAGCAGCTTGTAGACAGAGACAGCAGTTCCATGTAAATAGTTTGTAAAGCAAGTTAAAACCTGTTAATAGGCAGGCTTGCTGGATCTGATCCAAGTTCTCTAGTGGATTTATGACTGTGTGGTATGAATTATTACACACTTGTGTGAGAATGTCTATCACATGATGATACTGCCTCAAGTGCCTTTGCAACTGCTTTACAGTTGAATAAAGTTTAGCTTGTTTCTCTGCCTATACATAGTTTTATTTAAAAAAGGAAGCCAAACCTCTTGCTTTGCAGACTTTCACTAGAGCAAATTAGTGAATGAAGACTTGCTTGCATATACAATGCTTTATTTTTTGGAGTAAGTACTTGGGTTTCAAGGCTGTCTTCATTCTATAGAAATCTGAGTAAACAAAAAACAAATGGAAGAGCTGCTCAGTCTCTTCAGCTGTGTGGATTCAGTGTCTCACATTTGCTTTTAAGTTAGATGAGAAAATAGAACTGTAAATTGAAGCTGTAAAATAAAGGGATCTGATAAACAAACAAGCAAATTGTTTGGCAATTTAATGTGGGGGGTTGTAACCCTGCACATGTTTTATTAAAGCAAAAATGGTAGATATATTTGAAGGTCTAATTTCATAACATGTTAAAATGGTTGTCCACCTGCATTTTCACAATCTTTGTTGTGTCCTGCTACAATTGAAGTGTGCAGCTTGTTTGTATCTCAGTGTTGCACAACTATGTGTCCTGCAATTGAATTTACAGAAGTATTTGTGTCTTTGAAACTGAAGACATCAGGTGATGCAACCTGTTGTTGACTAAGGTCTTGATTTATAGACCAGCTGGTTGCCATCTATGTGACCTCTTTCCTTACAGCTCTTGATCAGACTTCTCAACTAATAGTGGGTTTGCAGTCATTCCAAATAGATTTGGAGGCCCCTCTGAATTTCAGTTTGATAAACCAACCCCTGGCAGCCCTTTCAGAGCCTAGAAATAGGGATGACCTCGGGGAAAAGTTGGTGTTCCCAGAGAAAAATGAATGTTTGAGTGTTTCTTTGTCCCCCTTCCTCCCCCCTCCGTAGAATGTTCCACTTTGTGTGAGACTTCTTTTACATCCTTTTGTTGTGGAAATGTAACAAATTTGCCCTTTTGAAGGGTAAATTAAGACTAAAAAATTAAGTGGTAGAATGGAGTGCTTGTAAGACCCGGGGCCAGATCTCAGCTGATACACCTTATCCTTGCCTCAGGTTTTGGCTAGCACACATTTTAAATAGACTAGCTGTGCCAATTAAGGCTCTGATATCACAGGTTATTTTCCCCAAGTATTAAGCGCACCCCTGTACTCTGCCAGCTTTAGTCTATTTGAGGAAAACAGTATATCAAGAGTTGCTAAATATATTCCAGTATTGATTGTGGTTCTCCTCTGGGCAAGTATATAGCCATTTTCAAAGTTCATCTTTGAGTGAAAATTGCCTCCAGGTGATCATTCAGGGAAATTTTGTAAATTGCTCTTTTTTTCTTTCTTTCTTTACATATAACTTGCATAGCATGTGAGACGCACCGGGTTAATAACTTATTTGCAAGATTTATGTTAATAGTTGTGCTGATTACTTGCAAACTTGCAATTTACTTGCAATTACTAGCAAACTTGAGCCCTGTACTGAAGTTTCTATTTATTTGTGGTATGCTGGCTTTTTTACTTGTGTTAGAAGAACTCTCAGAAACATAACCTTGGTATTTTTAATAATAAAAACAACTAACCTTTTTGTAGTAGGGGTCATATTTACCCTTGGCCAAGCCTTTGTGGGTGCCAGTCTTGGGTATGGCCACCTTACCACCTCACAAGGTACATGCAGACACACACCCATTCCCCTTGGCTGATCCATGCAGATTAGTTGAGGTGGTGGAGGAGCTATTACCCCCTCCCAGTTTATCAAATGATCAATTGGTTCATTGGGAAAGGGTTGATTTGCATCTCTGTTCAGGTGCTGGGAGAAGCTTAACTGTCTCTACCTGCTCCAGTGTTGCATCTACTCTTTAATTTTATTTTTGCTTCCACCAGAATCAGTGGGGTCTTAGGGAGGCTGGAGGGAATATTGGGGATAGGGCCAGATGTGCAGCTTTGGCTTACCATGTTAAAAGAACAGCCGATGTTCTTAGAATGTTTCATAGAATGAAAGTTGCTTTCAGTAAACCACAAGGCAAATTTTAAAAAAGAAATTAGATATTCTAAAAGGGCACTGGACAGATCTTCAGGTCGGTGTATTTATTTAACCTGTAAAACAAAGCTTTTTTAAATGAACAGTTAGAGCCCATAAATTAAACTAGGTGCTCCAGATTAGATGACAGAAACAACATTCTTAATTGTGCCCATGTTCCAACTTTTCAGGTGCTCCATCTTAAGGTTTATTTTGTCAGTATTGAGTCAGGTCTGGTGGTTAAGGGGCTTGTGCACAAAAATAATTAATGTCTACAGTAGTTTCTAGCCCTTATTTACTGGAAAATAGCATATAACCCTGACCAAATTCTCTACAGAGTCATGTGCTTTCCCAAGGATTATTTTTGCGTTATTTATAATATTTGCTGTAAATTGTTCAAGGCACATTTTGTAGAAAGCATACAGGGGAACCTGCATCAAAGAATTGCGTGTGTGGGAAGGGGGAATTGCAGTGTCCACCACAGTATATGTAACCATATGGCTGGCATAAAATCACATTGTGTTTACCTGGCATGTTGTTCATACGCTTGACTAATGTTTTAACATGGACTAGCCATCGTAGCTGGGGTTGGAATGGTGGATTCCATATAGTGGAATCTGTCATATTCACTTCCCTGCTGACTTCTGCCAACCAGGGGGAAAGGGAGCAAACGTTCATCACTGACCACTGGTTCATCATCACTGACCACTGGTCCTGTTAGCTAGGGATGGTGGGAGTTGTAGTCCCAAAACAGCTTTCCCTGAGATTTGTAGTTGTGTATCTGACGGTCCAGGACAGAAGAGTTAAGCACTTGTGTCTCTTTTCTGATGCAAAGAAAAAGGGTTTTTTCCGCTTCATGTTGCAAGGAAAGTTGAAAAGTGGGTTGCTTTGGTGGTACCATTCCACAGTGTCAGTAACCTTTGAAATGGAGGGGCAGGCAGGATATGGCTGTTGCCCGTGCACTAGAAGAATGTCCAGCTGAAATTTCTCAGAATAATCATGCCCAAATGGGGCAGCTTCACATAAGATTTTTCCTACATGCTTTTTTTTTACTTCTCTTTAGGAAAATTGTATGTATAGTGTATAAAACTGCAACGGGTTACATGCAGATATGGATTAATCTATACAGTAGCTCTTCTATTCAGTGTGAGGAATGGAAAGAAAGAAGATGGGAACTGTTCTCAAAATGTGTGTCTGTCATGGAGTGGGTGGGGAAAGCTTAGCAAACTTGTGACAGGTGGAAGAATGATGTGTAGATTGCAACGGAGTATAATCCCAATTAGCATTGCTCGCTGGGGCTGATGAGATTTGGAGTCCAGTAACATCTGAAGGGTCACAGGTTTTCCATCCCTCCATCCATAAAATACTGTGTATTTTATGCTTGAGTTGTGTGTGAATTATAGGTTCTCCTCACTTGCTAACTAAGCCCTAGTGGTTTCCTACTTGCTGGGTTTTGTATTCTGCATCTCTAAGCACACATACATAGTAGTGTGTTCATAGAAGCTAAAGCATTTTAATTACCTGTGGAATTTTTTAGGAGTCAGGTGTAAAAGCATAAATAATTAAATGTATAGTATATATTAAAGCCTGTCATCTGCACCAGTTTGCAAAACATGTGCTGTATGCTAGCAAGGACAAGATGTATCACCAGAACCTGTAGGCATCAACATAATCTACTTCATGTGATCTGTGTACTATATTAGGACTTGAACAAACAGAAACTTAATGCATTACTTTTTATGCCATGAGTATTAATATCTATACCAAGAAAAGCATGCATAATATAGAAGTTCTGCCTAGTGCCAGCTTCGTAAGCATATTGCAGTGGAAAAAAACCATTCACCCAGCCATTCCCATGTGAGATGCCTGCAACACACATATGAACCGTGCCAATTGTCATGCTGAAAGCTGTTGCTCCACCTCTTGCAAGATGAGTGTGGGGCAACCATAGCGCAAAACCAATTACCAGAACCTGGCCAAAAACCCAGAACCTGTTAGTATTTCTTTCATAGGGAAGTAGTCTTCTGAAAGCAGAATATCTTGAATGGAAGTTTGAATGAAACTCCCAAACTTTCCCCTCATGGGCCACTTGAAAATCGCTGAGGGTCACCAAGACAGTCAACCAGCTAAACATAAAATCCAATATTCAGTCAGATGAAAGAGGAAAATAACATCCTAAATCTACCCTCTGGTGCAGTTTGGCAGTCTGCAATAGCCAGTGTTTTGACTCAGCTATATTTTGTTAGAATTTATATGGCTCCTTAACACAGATTTTAGAGCCAACACCTGCCCTGAGGTCTTGCTTAGCCTTAGATCAAAGCAACTGGCCTTCATCCACTGCTGTTTTCTCAGCTGCTAGACGTTTCTGTAGCTGCCCCAGGAAAGGGGGCATGGGTGTCAGTACGGTGGTGTATAAATTATGCATTCCTTTATTCTGCAAGTATCCCACAGTTGCAGAAATCAGTTTGTAAAGAGGAAACGGTTATGTGAATTGGCCTTTGATCACTCTGCTTTATAAGTGTTTGTATGGTAGATTCATAAAGGATGTTTGGGGATACCATCGAGTAAATCATTTGGCAGTGTGTACAGAGAAAAAAGTTGGCTTCCTCTTTAGAAGCAGGAAACTCCCCACTCCAGTTAATCAAAGCTGCTGACCAGTGTCCAGATAGGAACAGCACAGCTGCTTATAGCGTTCCTCTGGCAAGCCATCAGTCATCTACCACAAATATCTTTGCACAGCAATCTAGCTGGCTCTCCAGGATAAATAAGCCTTGAAAGCAAAAATATCAGTCCACCTTTTTTGGTCAGTTTTCTGAAACTGTATTTAGAGAATCTGACAGTGTTTACATTGCTTAAAATAAACCTTTTAAACATTAAAAGCCTAGAGTTAAGATTTAGAGGCTAAACTTTAATGGCTAGCTGAACTTCACCTGGGATCTTTCCTTTGTCCTACTTCATTGATGTTTTTGAGAACAGCCTGCAGCTGCTGATTGTGTGAGGAACTGGAGGCATATCTTCTCTTTGGAATGTTCACAGGACATTGCCTCTTTTTTGTTTTGCATACTTATATCTGAGCAGAGCTTGTGTTAGGACTAGAGGCTGCTGTGTGGCCTTTTTGCAATGAGTCCGGCAGCTTTTCTGCTTTGTAGCTTTTCTGTTTTCCTTTCCTCTGCACAGCTCTGAAAATTAACAGTTTCAGTGGGAATGCACTTAAAATCTGATTGTGACTCTGTGAATTCAGAATATTACAAACATCCTTTGAGTTGTTCCTAAGAAAAAGAAATGTCTAATCCAGGGGTCAGCAAACCTTTTCAGCAGGGGGCCGGTCCACTGTTGCTCAGACCTTGTGGGGGGCCGGACTATATTTGGGGGGGGGGTGAACAATTTTTGACTGCCCGCAAAGAGGCCTGAAGATGCTTCACTTTACCTGTCACAGTTGTCATCCCAATAGCTGCAGCTGGGCTTCTCCAGCCAACCAGGCACAGTGGTGGGGTAGCAGGCTGTGTTGGCCAGTGAAGACAGAAGCAGCAGCCCTGGCAGAGGAGCCACAGATGAAGGTAGGGGAACCGGAGCATCGCTGGAGCTTTTACCCACCACCTGCTTCTTCCAGAGAGGCACCGCGGAGAAGACAGAGCCTGCCACCAACCCGCAAGCGGCGGCCGCGGCCACCGCAACCACCCACCTGAACGCCATGGGAGGAATGAAGGAGGGAGGGAGGCAGGTGGCGGTGAAGAAAGTGCGCAAGGAAGCGGTGTGGAAAAGGAAGGAAGGAGAAGGAAGGACAGACGGACTGAGGGAGAGAGAGGAGGAGGAAAACGCAGCAGCAACTGGCAGCCAGCGTCACACGCTCCCTTCACAGCACCACCCTGCTGAGGCGGGCAGGCAGGCTAGCATACTCGACGGCACCCAGTGTGGGACAAGATTGCTCCGTCCCTGAGGAGAAAAGCGCCACCGTGTGAGGGAGAGGGAATGAACACACGCGCTGGCGATCCCCGGACCGTCCGTGGGCCAGATCTAGAAGGCAGTTGGGCCTGATCCGACCCGCGGACCTTAGTTTGCCGACCCATGGTCTAATTCAGGAATGTCCAAAATCCGTTTAGGGTTGGCCCTTTGGTTGGCCCTCACGGCCCTTCACTTCATCAAATCTGGCCCTCTTTGAAAAAAGTTTGGACACCACTGGTCTAATCGGAACTTGAAGAAACAACATTTTCTGTGTGTTTTTGGATCCTTGCTGACAGAAATTGGATTGATAACGGGGCTAGAGCCTGTAATTCTTGTATTACTGTAGTTTATTTGTTTAAGGCTGCAATCCTTACCACTTTTCTGGGAGCAGACTAATTGAGACTATTGGAACATGCCATAGGCTTGTACTGTAAAACATTTGTATCCCTACTGTCCCATGCTCTCATGGTGGGTTAACATAAAACCAAACCATTAGGCTTTAGAAGAAAACACACAGCAGTGGAACTCTGTAATAATGGAATAAAGCAGTTATTCATCAACAGCCACATCAGCACCCAACTCCAAATGGCAACAGCTCTCTAGATGGGGAACAGAAATGCTTCTAGTCTTTCTACCCAATATCTTTTTAATTTGAGAAGCCAAGGATTGAATCCCATCGGAGGGCGCTGGGGAGGGATGCAGCAAAATTCGTGCATGAAAAATGGGAGGCGGGGAGAGACATATAAATAGAAAGAAAGCTGCCTCCCCCTCTTTGGGGTGTGTGTGGAATGCATACAAAATCATGAATGAAAAAGCTCAGGAAAAGCAATGAAGCAAAACAGCAACTTTTTATGTAGAAGGAGGAGGAGGAAGAAGAGGGAGGAAGGAAGGAAGGAAGGAAGGAAGGAAGGAAGGAAGGAAAAAAGTGAATAAAAGAAGAGAGAGGGTTGGAAAAGGCGCTGGCTCCTCACCTTCCTCATCCAGGGTCTCTCCAGCTCCATTGGGTGAAAGGAAGCCAGCGTGCCGTGGGGAGGCAGTGAGTGAGGCCGGGCCAGGGGCAACCAGGCAGAGTAAAAGCCCGTCTCGGGGTGGGGAAGGGCCGGACAGAGGCCAGGCAAGGTGAGGGCTGGGGGGCAGCGGTAGGGCTCTGCCTTGCCTCTACTCTCAAGTCTTTTATTTGGATGCGAGATCTGCAGCTACTAACTTCAGGGGCCACAGGCCGGTCTGCCCCTGTCACACCATTGTTCTCCCGCTCTGTATGAATGAGTAGTAGTATGGTGGAGATTGTCTGTTTGTTTTTAAAAACCTTGTCACTTTTTCTGAGAGTATTGTGCAGAGACTTACAGCTCAAAGCAGCCACGTTAATAAGTATAAAACATTGTGATAATCAGTCCCAGATGGGGCTCCTGTCTCTTTGAATAATTCCGTGAAAGGAGTATTTCACCATTTGTAGCTTTTCCTCTCTTTGCGTGGCAGCAGTATGCTGCCCTTTCAAAATCCTTTTCTCAAACACTGTTAAGGGTACAGGATTCTTTTCCACAATGGATGTGTTTAGAACGATAACAGCTATTTTAAGAAAATGGTTGCTTGTTCTAAGTACAATTGTGTTTCAGGCTGGAATGCAATTCTTTTGGCGACTTGTATTTCCAAGGATGCCTTTGGAAATTTGTAGCCTGGAGGTTTGTTTTGTCTCCATTAAACACAAATGCCAACTCTTGAGATACATACGTGGGATGCAAGGTCTTTTCAACATGTTTCTGCTAAACTGGATCGCTGTACATTCAGTTCTTCAAACCTTTTTGTGGACATACAGTAACTGACATGTACTCTGAACTAGGACTAACAGCATTACTCACTGGAAGAAAGCAGCGTACATCGAGTTACAATGAAAGAACCACCAATAATCCATGAATCTTTTGCTAATTGGAATTTTTTTTTAATTGTTTTTAAAGATACACCATTTTTTGCAGCAGTCCATCAGGGTGAAATGGAAACTTTCCATTAAAATTTCTACCAGCAGGTCTGGTTCTATATTTCTCTCTCTCTCTCTCTCTCTCTCTCTCTCTCTCTCCCCCCTGATTTACAGCTATTAGATCAAAGGCAGTAATCATGATATTTGCATGGGAATTAGTCCCATTGAAATTAGACGTACTTCAAAAGAAACATACTTGGTTACATGTAGCATGCAGAACACAGATTTATTATAGTCAGGGTGGAAGGTGGAGGTATTCAAAGGGCTGTTGTTGACTCCCATCTATCCTTAAAGAGCCAGCAGTTTTTAAGGGCAGAAAGGGTGACTAGGGGCTTGCCTGGAGATTTAGATTTGTACACTGCAGGGACTAGCTAGCTACAAGTTCATTTCAAGTCAGTTAGTTACAATAGAGCTTTGGAGCTATCAAGTTCTCTTCGTCTTTCCCATCAGATCATGGGTGGGCAACCTGTGGCTCTGCACCTAAAGACATGTGGGTGGATAGAGCCAGGTGGGGAATGGTGGAGGGAGTCAGAACAGGTGGAACGAGGGAGTGAAAGCCTTCTGCAGGGAATCGGTGCACCTCTGACGAGAGTGAACTTTCCCTGCCCTAGCAGCCTGTTGGGTGGTGGTGAAGAGGAAGACTGGGAAAGTGAGAGAAGGTGGCAGAGAGGGGAAAGCCACTTTGGGGTCTGGCCTGCCCACTGCCAGCATCTGGTCTTGCACAGATTCTCCCCCAAGGGAATGTGGTCCTCAACCCTTTCTCCTGACAAGTTAGAGTTCAAAGCCAGGACTGATAAAGTGGGAGGTCTGGATGACCAGGGACAGCTTTCTTTGAAGGTGGAATAGAAGGGAGACTTACGACCACTGAATACCTTGATCTGGGGTGGGAGAGGATCCCTCTTCTGCTCCATAGTGTAGCCTGCTGGCTATTATGAAATGAAGTTGAAGACCCTGGATCTCAAAATTTCCTAAACATAAGTTACTCACTCTTGTATCTCATAGTCTACAGTGTCAATCATCATCATCATCATCCCCCAAATTGTGCTTTTCTTCACTAACTTGAATTCAAGAAGAAAGAACTTTTCTGTCCACAAAATTTTGGGTCAGTACTAAAGGAAAGCATAGTTCACTAGCTTTTTATAATCGTTAGGCTAAGAAACAATTAATTGTGTGATATATTCCAAGGTTTGAATGTTTTAAGTTAATCAAGATCACTTTTGTTAACAGCACACTTTGACTAGGAAAAAAATACCTAGTTACAAGTTTTCCAGAAATTTTTTGTTTTTAGTTCATGAAGAGAAACTGGGAATCATCATTAAATTGCTGCAAAAATAGTATCTCTCTTGGGATATTATGCTGAGGCCAGAAAAATAATTTTATCAACCATAAAAGACTGAATTGTGCGTTTTTGGGGAGAAACATTCATCACTTTAATTTATGTTGCTCATCTTGGGTTTTCTTGTTTGTGTGCTTAGTTCAATTCTTCTCCAGCGTTTGCTTAAAGGCCAAACTAGACATGACAGTTGCAGGCGCTGTGGTCTAAACCACTGAGCCTCTTGGGCTTGCTGATTAGAAGGTTGGCAGTTTGGGGTGAGCTCTCATTGTTCTTTCCCAGCCAACCTAGCAGTTTGAAAGCACACCAGTGTAAGTAGATAAATAGGTACCACTGTGGTGGGAAGGTAAACAGTGTTTCCATGCGTTCTGACACATGTCACGGTGTCCCACTGCACCAGAAGCGGTTTGGTCATGCTTGCCACATGACCCAGAAAGTTGTCTGTGGGGAAACGCCGGCTCCCTCGGCCTGAAAAGCAAGATAAGCGGCGCACCCCATAGTCGCCTTTGACTGGACTTAACCATCAAGGGGTCCTTTACCTTTACTGCCTCGTGTGGCTAAAACATTTAACTGCTGAAATGATGGTAGAATCCCAGTGTGGGGTGTTGAACGTTCCCTGTGCTTGCCGTTTAAGTCTTTGTCCAGCTGTTGTGATTTCTAGTATCTGAGCTAAGATCAGCTGAAAGTGCTTAAAGAGAGAGAGAGAAATTTGAAGCAGCAAACGTGACTGGATGGAGGATTCTGTGCTTCTCATGTATGTGCCCCGTATTCTTCTCCCAGTTCTGCCCTGCATACATAACAGGAATAGTTCTGTTTAAACATGCAGAGTGTCTGCCATCATGTCTAGTCCATTACTCACTGGGAGGGATGCTTGTAACAGACAAGGCTTCTGTCTTACATGTTATACACTAGGGTTCTGTCTCAGTCTTGTGGGCCATTTAATGATAAGAAAAATATTGGTAGCACAATGTGGTGATCATATGGTTTCTTTTTCAGACTAATAGGGATGCCAAAGGAAAAATATGATCCTCCAGATCCTCGCAGAATTTACACCATCATGTCAGCAGAGGAGGTAGCCAATGGGAAGAAGTCCCATTGGGCAGAATTGGAAATCTCGGGTGAGTTATGAAATGATTTGCCTATCAAGTGGGAGGTGGAGGTGGTTCTCTCTGGCTTTAGGCCAGGTATCTATCCACCTGCCTGATAAAACTTGTGAATGGATCAGCAGGTCCTCAGAGGCAAGTTCATCAGTGTGTGAAAATCTTGCCTTCAAGATATCTGGTTTCAGTTTGCCTGCAGTCTGAGCGCTTGAAACCATTCACATTATTAAGATGCAAGTGGGCATCCCTTATGAAATGCCTTAGAAAAGGCACTGTAAGAGTTAGAGATATGAATCTGGGGTGATTGGACAGAGAAATATGTGCGTTTCTATTGTTCTGCCCCCTCTCAGATCTGAAATGGGGGGGGGGGGCATCTAATGTTCATTTCAGAAAAAAAACATGTTTTCCATTTATCACTTACTTCCAAAAGTGGCTTCAAAGTGGTTTCATGTACAATTTTCTACAATAAGCTCAAGCAACTTGAAAGTTGCATGGCTCCATTAAAAAATAATAATCATTAATTAATATAAATTCAGAAGGGATTGGGTTAGACCCTTGTTGGTTATCGTTGATAGTTGGGGATGAAGGTGAGGGGTGTTAATGGGGAATAATAGAACTCAACCCATCTGATATCATCAGATTAATGTAATATTTGTGCACTTTAGATAGCCTGCATCTGATTTTCTCTTCCTTCATTTTTATGCTTTTGCTGTTATGAGAATCTATATTTTTATTGTGTATTTTGTATTTTTAGTTTGTATTTGTATTATGTATTTTTATTATAATTGCATTTATGTAACTTTTGATTTCTATAATGTATAGATATTAAGTTATGTGTTATGTTATGTTGTAAAGTACCCAATGGTTTTTTTGATGAACAGCAGCATATAAATGTAGTTAGTTAATTAATTAATAATTAAAATACGTGACTACAGAGTTGTTTCCTTCCCCCTTCCAAATTGGAGGGAAGCCCTCTTTCGTCCCCCTCCCCTTAGCAAAAAAACCCTTTCAGCTGCTTTTCTCACCCTCCCCAGGAAAAAAAGCTACATTTGCCAAAAAGTCATAGCAGATATCCTGCATTTTATTATGCTTTGTGGTGGGCGTGAGATGATAAATCAGCACATTTTTCTTGCAAAACTATCAGTATACTTGTAGAAACAGCTGCCTGAACGCTTAACATTCTCCACATGCTCTTCATTTTAGGCAGAGTGCGGAGCTTAAGTACGTCTCTTTGGTCACTAACACACTTGACTGCTCTCCACCTCAATGACAACTATCTGACTCGCATTCCACCTGATATTGCCAAGCTTCATAATCTGGTTTACTTGGATCTCTCATCCAACAAACTCAGAAGTTTACCAGCAGAACTAGGAAACATGGTATCTCTCAGGTGAGGAGTTTCACTGCCTCTTACAAAATAATTACAGAAAAGTTTTCGGCTGCAACTTTCCTTTTAGTCCAGCTGTTAAATTGATGTTGCAGTTTAACTTGGCTGTCGATATACACAGTTTCAGAACTTAATTTGACTGCCTTCTTTTTGAACCATTTTGGGTGGCGCTACATGGTATGATACTCAAGTTCTGGTAGCTCATATTGTGCCTTGCCCACCTGATGCCAATGATGATGGATGGGGGTGAGGAAATGGGCAGTGCTAGGATGACGGTGTTACATTTTACTACACATTACAGGGGGGAGAGAAGAGAACACAGCAGCAGCACCCTCACATTTCTCCTAAATGTAGTTATGTCATTAGGCTACCTTTCATAATGACGCCAATCTTCACCTCCATATTTGCTCACAAACTTGATAATGTTAATGGTTCATTGTATAGAGAAGGTCTTCCTTTGGAATTTTGTGCCAAAATTATTAACTTACTGTTACTGTGCAAAAAGGGAGATGGAGTTTTCCCCCTGAAAAGCAATGGACAGTAACTACCAATCCTTGTACATCACCTTCTGCTTTTTTGATCCTTATCCAAGGATGAATGATAGGCTTGGGTGGGGATTTAGCATTTTTTCAGGGGTTGTTGACTTCCTTCCAACATCCTTTCAGTGTGAAAACAAGTCAGAGTTGGAAGTTGGGTGTCCCCCCCCCAACAGCCTTCTCCAACTCAGTGCCCCCCAGAAGTTGTGAACATCAACCTCTCTCAGAGGTGATGGCTGGGGGCTATAGTTCAAAGCCTCTGGAGGGCACCTAGCTGGGCAGGCTGTTCCAGAACACCAAACTGCAGACGCTTAACCACTGTATAGCTAATTTATTTGTGGCCATTAATGTGTGCATTAATGCACACATATTTCCCCTTCAGCAATGGAGCCACTCAAAGGAATATCAAAACAAAAGTTGGCATTTTGCAAGATAAACAGAACATACAATATGTGAATTTTTCTAAAGTTGACCCTGCTAATGTGTTTCTTCTGTCTTTAGGGAATTGCTTTTAAACAACAATTTGTTACGAGTTTTGCCTTATGAACTTGGACGGCTATTCCAGCTGCAAACACTAGGTTTGAAAGGTAATTGAAATATTAAACCATACATGTCCATGATTCCTTGTTCTCTATCCTTTCTTTCCTTTATCAATTCCTTGATCAGTCTTCTAACTAAAGAACCCTGTAGGGCTGAAGGACAAAACCTTTTGCAAAGTATAGGTAATGGGTTTCTTAGCCTACTATTTTGTTTATCTATTTATTCATGAATAAGCTTTAGGAGAAGTTCTGAATTGTCCTTTTGGGTTTCTGCTGTGCCCTTTGTCTTGCTGCCTTCCTGCTGTATCCAGACCAGACAAAGCCCTTAGAATCATAGACTAGAATTGGAAGGGACCCCACTTAATCCTGCAATACCGGAATCTCAACTAAAACATCCATAGCAGAAGGCCATCCAATATCTGTTTAAAAATCCCCACTGAAGGAGAGTCACCACCTCCCGAGGGAGCCTGTTCCACTTTCCAAAAGCTTTTACTGTCAGAAGGCTCTTCCTAATGTTTAATCGGAATCTCCTTTCTTGTAACTTGAAGCCTGACGCTCTGACCACTCTTTCACTCCTCTGGAATTCAGATACTGCTTTTGGACATCCCTTTCAAATCTACCGTCCTTCCCTCTGACAGAATGAGAAGTAGGGCTCTAACTGATGTTCAATGTCTCACTTTTATTCTAGGCAATCCTTTATCACAAGATATTCTCAGCCTGTACCAGGACTCAGATGGAACACGGAAGTTACTGAACTACATGCTTGACAATCTAGCGGGTAAGAAGTGTTTGCCTTCACTTTGATAGCAGCGAAAGGCTCGTCTTATATGACAGATGGCATTTGTGTAGAGGGGGAGTTTTCATACTGCAGGCACTCCTAGATGGGTGCAGTGGGTGTGCTATGCATTCTCAACACACTGTGCCCCTTTCAGTACACTACGCAATGCTAATTGGGAGGATTGCCTTTGCCTATTATGACAAAACTGCCACAAATGCAGTATACTTTACTGTAACGAAACATGGTGGGCATTTGGTTATGTGGGCTAAAGTAAAGGCATGCACTTGATAACATTAGGATAGAAGCTAAACCCCTGTTCCCCTTCCCCATTGATCCCAACCATTCAAAATCAAGCCTGATCCTACTCCTGCCTGTATAGCTCTGTCTTGGGTCTTGTTTCTCGGTTACACTGCAGGGGGATGTAATATTGGGAGCTGGCTCTATCTGTCTAACTGTCTTAACACCTGCCCAATAATGTTGAGTGCCAGCTCATCAAGAGTCTTGAGTTCAAAGGTCCATGTAGTAGCTATTCCCAGATCAGGAATTCATCTCTTACTTGGTGAGGTTTTCCATTCATTCGATGGAGGAACTGGCCTGTATATATTGATAATTCCTTTTTAAAAGAGACCATTTGTAGCTGGTAAACTTATGTGTGTACACCAGGTCTTCTATACTCAAAATAGCTTTCTGGATCTGGCTTCAGCTAATCTCAGTTGTTCTGGATTGAAGAGCCAAGTGGAAACCATGCTCTATCTTTTAATTAAGCCTGCATGGGATGATTGTCACTGGAAAAACCCTTCAATATGGAAGGGCTCAGCAGGCCGGTGGTATGAATTGTTTACCCTGTAACTTATTCCCATCACATGGAATGTTGCGTGCCTGTTGAACCTCTTTTGCAGTTGCAGATAATGGTTTGTGATCGTTCAACCTTATGGGCAAAATAATAAACTATTCATACATTTCCGCCCAGCACTTTTGAAGCAGTTTTGGGTGGCAACTATGCCACTAGGGTATATGTTACACAGGCTTTAGTTGATCCAACAAAGTGATCACACCAGAATGTGGCTATTCCTTTAGGTTCCTGTGTGCATGTTTGTTTGTTTGTTTGTTTGTTTGTTTGTTTGTTTGTTTGAGTGAGTGAGAGAGAAGGTGAATGAAATCAGGCATAATTGTTCCCAAATAAAATTGGTACTACCATTGGAAATCTCAGTGAGGATAAAAGTGAAATGGAAACTAAAGGCTACTTAAAAGACAAAGCAGTGCTGTTCAGGGCCCATCTATATCTAAAAGTACGAGAAACCTGCACCATCTAAACATTTTCTCTACCCATATCCCACTTTCAGCTTGCAGTTAAATGTTTTCTTTTCTGAACTTCTGTACTACAATATGGAGAGTGACTATTGCAAGTTCTTGAGGGATACTGGGCTTTCTAGCGCCCATTAATGTTTACTTTCTCAATATTTCAGTTCATCCGGAGCAGCTGCCTCCAAGGCCATGGATTACTTTGAAAGAGCGAGACCAAATTCTGCCCTCCGGTAATTATGTGACTTTCTCTTCTTCCTGTAAATTAAAGATAAGCAAGGAGATATCTTTTTGTACAGCTGCACTTCTCATTTGTCAAGTTTTATTCATCCTTGATGATGATTGAAGAAACCTCACAGCCCCCAAAAGAGAGTTCTCCGCCTGCTTTATTTGTGTAACCAAGCAGCTGCCTGGGACAGAAACAGGAGGTTCCTTGAGGGTCTGAAGGCAGCAGTAGGCAAGGAGAGCTCAAAGTTACTGGAACCCCAGAAAGACCCCAGCTTTGTGCTGCTGCAGTAGGTGAAGCCAAGGGGCAGGGGTTGAACTGTCTGCAATAGTATCAGATGGCTGGTAACATGATACAAATCCACATATTTATCAGGCCTTTTTTAACTACTCAAAATCTGCTCCCAGAAAGGGTCTTTTTTAACAGATTTATCAGGCCTTTTTAAACTACTCAAAATCTGCTCCCAGAAAGGGTCATTGGAACATTTTTCTCCATGGCCATCATAAGGCCACGTGCAGAAGTGAGGCTTGCAATCTCTTTATCCAGTTAAGAGAATGAGGAAGATGTGCTCCTTCCCCCTTGAGCTAACCAACTGGTTGCCAAATCCTGCTTCAAGAGTTTGCTGTGGATAGGGCCAGTACCAACATAAGCCTTAATCTCAGTGGAGAAGCTATGGGGCAGGAGCATGTGATCACCATTAAGAGATTGGCAAATGGGCTGGTGCTGAAGTTACTGTCAGTGTAACTGAGCAACAACTGCTTCCACTTGTAGAGAGAGGACCAGTTTGTGTGCTACGAATCTGTTCAAACTTGCTCTGTGCATGCAATCAGTGAAATATCAGAGCAGGGTTCACTTGGAAGAATGTGTAGCTACTTTGTGAGGAGTGGTGAGAAAGTGAAAAGTCCTTTTAACAGAAATATCAGTATGGTCATCCTCTGATGTTGTACTGCTCATATGAACCGTTAAAGGTAAAAGGGCCAATTCATAATGTATGAATCTGTCTGTTGAATCTAAGTTTTCACCTGAGGTTCTTAGCAACTTGAATAATTTAATTAGCAGCGAGCTGCAGCTTTATCTCATTTAAGAAAAACCTAATAGCCTTTTATGTTATCTGTTCTGGCTGAAGTAATGTGCAAAAATATGCAAACCTGAAAAGTATGCTAGATCATCTCTGCAATGTACTGTATAAGTTTATTTATGCAGATAGTTCCACCTATGCAAAGCAGTTAGCCATGTAGTTAAAATGGAGGTTAATGAACTCTAGCTTCTTAAACTAGTACTTGGCATCTGAAAGAAGTTTCTTTTTCTTAATGTTACGATTTAATTACAGTCTTTATGTTGGCCACACAGCAACTTAGTTCTCTGGGTGGCTCACAAAAATAAAATACAACATTGAAAATACAAATAAAAGAATTGCAATGTAAAAATTAGAGGAATTCTGGAAGCTTTTGCAAAACTGGCCTTTTAAGTCATAGATATCTACTTAATTCCACTGAAACTCCTTGTTCTAAGTGAAAAGTGTGTGGTACCTCAACGTTCTCATCACCAAATGTTTATTTTCTCTCCTTCCAGCTTCTTTTACAGTCATGTGTTATAATGTGTTGTGTGATAAATACGCCACCCGACAGCTCTATGGCTACTGCCCATCATGGGCATTAAATTGGGAATACAGAAAAAAGGGAATCATGGAAGAAATTGTGAACTGGGATGCAGATATCATTAGTCTTCAGGTAATGATAACAGAATATAGCCCTTTGATTTTCATCAGGAAATAGTAGGAATAGGGTTCCCTTATTCTCTTCTTAAAATGTTGATAGAAAGTCAAGGGCATCTCTTCAAAGTACTTCTTCATGTTTTCTTCTGTAGTCTTACAGCTTTAATTTTTTTTTAAAAGTATGTTAAAGACATGTTAAGATGCGAAAATAGCAAAAAATCGCCATTGGCCAAATACTTTTTGCAGGGCCCTTTGTCCATTGTTCATTTTGAATAAAGCATAATAACTTGGCAACCGTGGCTTATGATGACTTGTGAATGTGACTGCTCAGTCCTTCCCATGCCAATGTAACCCTCCCTGAAACAGGCAAAAATGAGACAGCCTACATTTCTCAGCACAGTTTTCTTCAATGTTAACAACCAAGGGTCATTTAGTTCAATCCCCTGCAATGCAGGAATCCTGTCCACAGCCATCCCTGGATGGATTCAAACCACCAGCCTTCTGGTTAACAGCCAGACACACTTACCCATTGTGTGATGTTCCTTTTCAGGAAGTAGAAACTGAGCAATACTTCACCCTCTTTCTGCCAGCATTAAAAGAGCGTGGATATGATGGATTTTTTTCTCCAAAGTCACGTGCCAAAATCATGTCTGAGCAGGAGCGAAAGCATGTGGATGGTTGTGCAGTATTCTTCAAAACGGAAAAGTAAGAGACTTTCGCTGATTTGACTTTGTTGTTTCATGCCCGTACCTCAGATGTCTCTGATAGTTTGCAAAGCAGCGTCTGTTGTTGCTTTAATGTGGACATGAAATTGACCTTTGTATTTAAAAAATGAGAGGGAGAAGTTTTATATCCTGGCTTTCTGGTAGTCTTTTTTTTTTTTTCTTTGTAGGTTTTTATATCTGTTGACTGAGTTCTTGGGTATGTTTTACATGTTTCAGGTTCACATTGGTGCAGAAGCACACGGTAGAATTCAACCAGGTGGCAATGGCGAACTCCGAAGGATCAGAAGCTATGTTGAATCGAGTGATGACAAAGGACAACATTGGCGTTGCTGTCGTGTTAGAGGTGCATAAGGAACTGTTTGGGACAGGTGGGTGTCAGGCCTTTTCAACACGAAGGGGGAGAGGCTTCATAAGGCGTACTAGTTTTTAAACAAGTGAAACTTTACTGTATAGAAATAATGTCACTTTATAGTACAAATTAAGTGGAGACAAAACAGTACCAGCTCAGTGGACTGCTTTGCTGAAGCAATTTCTGAAACAGATCCATTCATCCCTATGAACAAAAATGCTATCTTAAATTGAGTGTGACCATTGGTCTATCCAGTGTTGTTCTGGCTGCTATGACTTGTGGTAGTGCTCAGTCAGGGGTCTTTCCCATCAGTGATCCTTTCTACAGGATATGTTAGAGCTTGAACCTGGTACAGGCGGACCCCCACTTGCGCAAGGGCTACATTCCGGCCCCTGCATAAGTGAAATTGCGTAAAGTGGGGAGCACCTTCTCAGCACCCCTTAAACACCCTCTTGGCCAACTCTCTCTTCAATCCATACTGCTGCTGCTGCACTACTCCAGTCCACACATCAGCTGTTAGGCAGGGAGGCGGAGCAGGGTAAACAAAGCCCTGCTGTGCCTCTGGTCTCTTCAGGGCTCCTTCCCAGATTTCCTCTTCAAACACTGGGGAGGGTCTCCTTGCAAGCCACAAGCTCTCTCTCGAGCGCCATTTCCGGATTTGAATTGAATTATTTAATTATTTGCCAACGTCATGCGTGGGGGGGGGGAGCTGTCTGTATTTCCTGCATGCAATCTGTGAGTTTGTCCACGCAGGTGTGGCCTTTGCCACTCCAAAGCACATAGCTCATGCTAGAGCGGTCACTCACTTAGGAAGAATGTGTTCCTTCTTTCTTCAGTCTGACCTTTTTTCCCCATAGCATTTTGTTTTTCCTAACACAATTCTCTCTGGAACTCTGCATGGATGCCACTAGGTATGCCGTGTGACTGGGATCAAAGTCACAGTACTATTTGGTCTGAATTGGCACAGCCATGTGCATAGTGTACCCTCAACTGCCTTAATTTCTATAATAATTTCTACCAGGCCACCACTGTCACGGGAATTGAGACAAATGCAGATACGCTGGCCATGGGAAGGTGCTCTGTTGTTCACATAAACCCTCCCAGGCCACGAGTCCAGCAGTATCTGCACAGTGAAGAACATTTCCTTTGCATGTAATTAAATGCTTTTCTGTTTGTTTCTGTATCATGGAAGGAGTTGAATTAACTTAGAATTCATTGCCTTTAGGTATGAAGCCTCTCCATACCGTGGACAACCAGCTGCTTATTATAGCAAACGCCCACATGCATTGGGACCCTGAATATTCAGATGTAAAACTTGTCCAGACAATGATGTTTGTCTCGGAACTGAAAAGTATCCTTGAGAAAGCCTCTAGCCGGCCTGGAAGCCCAATAACAGATAAGAATTCCATCCCTCTGGTGCTGTGTGCAGATCTCAACTCACTGCCGGATTCAGGTATTTAGAAATAGCAGTTTTGCTTTTACTTCAAAGTTAAGACTTACCTTTTTTATTAAAAATGTATTTATTAAAAGTTTTTATTGGGTAACAGTAGTACATGCAGAGTCTCCGTTTTCAAGTCATAGAATCCTTCAAACAAGTCAGTCACATTCAGAGTGAGACATTACTGTTACAGGCGATATGGAATTGAGGGGGAAAAGAAGGCAGGAAAAGGGGAGACAGTAAAATTCCATTCTTTTATATAGTATATGAGTAAAGCTTTTGTGTGGGACGTGGGTGGCGTTGTGGGTTAAACCACAGAGCCTAGGACTTGCCGATCAGAAGGTCGGCGGTTCGAATCCCCGCGACGGGGTGAGCTCCCGTTGCTCAGTCCCTGCTCCTGCCAACCTAGCAGTTCGAAAGCACGTCAAAGTGCAAGTAGATAAATAGGTACCACTTTGGCAGGAAGGTAAACAGCGTTTCCATGCGCTGCTCTGGTTCGCCAGAAGCGGCTTAGTCATGCTGGCCACATGACCCGGAAGCTGTACGCCGGCTCCCTTGGCCAATAAAGCAAGATGAGCGTTGCAACCCCAAAGTCGGCCACGACTGGACCCTAAGGTCAGGGGTCCCTTTACCTTTAAAGCTTTTGTGTTAGCGTCACTTAAAACATGTATTTTATTTTTGTTGGTGGTACAAGAGACCAGAGGGCCCAAGGCATGGCTGGTTGCAGTCGGTGGGCTGTAAGTGTGTCTTGTTTGTGTGTCGTGAGGGGAATGTTACTGGATCAGATTAACCATATCGATTTGTATGCTGTGGGGGGAGGGACATAGTATTGAAAGTTAATACTATCTCGTATCAACTTTCCACCAACATTACACCTAGTGGAAAATGATCTTTTTCAATGTCTTGTGTCTCAAGGGGAAATTTTAATGTGAATTGCTGAATTGTTGTCTTGCATTCTAAAATGAGGAGAGGAGGTAATAGGGTAGATTTGGGGGTTGGTAAGGTGAACAAGTAAGGTTGGTAAGGTGAACAAGACCCTCTGTTGAACCAGTATTGTTTGCCCAGGGAAACTGCTATTTAAAACCAGATGAATGATAAATTACAAGAACCACCATCACATTTAGTACATAAATAATCACTTCCTTTCTAATTACAAATGCTGTCAGCCTTAATCAACTCCTGGTGGTATTTCTCTAACTGCTAAATAGCTTATTTCTTATTTTAAGCAGGTGGTTATATAGGTACTTGGGTGATAATTCTTCCCTCTTGGTCATGAAAACATTTGCAGTGTTAATAATTCCCTGGCTGCTGATGGTGTGCATAGAGCTCCAGAACTGAGTTCATGTTAAGCTACAGGAAAACAGGTGGCACAATTCAGCATTAGCATCCGGCAGCAACAGATTGACTGTTTTGTTTTGCAAACAGGTGTCGTGGAATACTTAAGCAATGGAATAGTAGCTGACAACCATAAAGATTTCAAGGAGCTGCGTTACAATGAGTGTCTCATGAACTTCAGTGGCAATGGGAAGAACGGGGCTCCTGAAGGAAGAATCACTCACGGCTTCCAGCTGAAGAGCGCTTACGAAAACAACTTGATGCCTTATACCAATTACACCTTTGATTTCAAAGTAAGTAGAGCTGTGGCAGAAGCAACTAGGAATATATCAGCTGGGTGCTGGAATGACGAATGATTATATTTACTGTGATTCAAACCAAACACATTTAAACCTATGGGTAGTTGCAGCTTAGACCGTGATTCAGTTGCAAATGCATTGAAGTGCACAGATGAATGGCCGCTGTTGCAGTCTGCCTGCCACGATCCCTGTGGTCGTTGCAGGATCACCCTGCTTCATGCCATTTCTGTATGAAGAAGTAGAAGCAAGATTTAAGTTCTGATCCCTGGCTCTGATTCTCCTGTACATGAAAGGCAGGCTGGTGCTTCTTGGCATTGATTGGCAATAATAATAATAATAATAATAATAATAATAATAATAATAAATTTATTTATACCCCGCCCATCTGGCTGGGTTTCCCCAGCCACTCTGGGCGGCTTCCAACAAAACACTAAAATACAATAACCTATTAAACATTAAAAGCTTCCCTAAACCGGGCTGCCTTCAGATGTCTTCTAAAAGTCTGGTAGTTATTTTTCTCTTTGACATCTGGTGGGAGGGCGTTCCACAGGGTGGGTGCCACTACCGAGAAGGCCCTCTGCCTGGTTCCCTGTAACTTGGCTTCTCGCAGCGAGGGAACCGCCAGAAGGCCCTTGGCGCTGGACCTCAGCATCTGGGCAGAATGATGGAGGTGGAGATGCTCCTTCAGGTATACTGGACCGAGGCCGTTTAGGGCTTTAAAGGTCAGCACCAACACTTTGAATTGGAGAGCCCAGTCCTGGTTGCAGCTTCCAAGGGTGTGCCCACTTCATGTTTTCCTTTAAGCATCTCCTCCTGCTTTTATTAACATGTTGCAACCACCTTTGCTGTTTATAGGATTGGTGGAGCTGCAGCAAGTTCCAGGTGTCCCCCCTCCCCAGCCAGCTTCTAAGCAACCTTTCTCCCTGGGCTTCAGTCGAGACGCTCCCAGCATCTCTTACTACCTAGCAGTGCAACAGGTGGTGCAGGGATTGCATTGGAACAAAGGCAGGCAGCATAGAAGGTTCTTGGTGGCTTGATTTGTTCATAGGATCCCGTTCTGAATTGACTTTTCCTCCCTCCCTTCCGCAGGGTGTGATTGACTACATTTTTTATTCCAACACTCACATGAACGTGCTTGGTGTCCTGGGGCCTTTGGACCCTCAGTGGCTGGTTGAGAACAACATCACCGGGTGCCCCCACCCTCACATCCCTTCAGACCACTTCTCACTGTTGACGCAGCTGGAGCTCCATCCTCTGTTCCTGCCTCCTGTCAATGGCATCCACTTGGCCAGCAGGCGGTAGTGGGGCCCCTGCCCCTTTTGAGGGCTGGGACCCGTTTGTTTGTTTATGGACCTGTACAGTTGTAAATCAAAGTATGTAGGAGTGAAGTATGGCCGACCTTTTAAAAGCTGCTGCTTCAAGCTCCTCTCATTATATGTGTTGATGATACAATTTTGCACTCCCCCCCCCCCCGGTGCATATTGGTACCATTTGGCACTAGGGCTGGAACCAAAGTTTTTGTTTGTTCCCTTTTTCCAGGTTTTTGCTTTTAAGGTATGCATATATATATATATATATATATATATATATATATATATAAAACCCACACATTTTAAGCTGGTGGGCTCTTGTTTGTTTCATTGGGAAGCTGCCTTTGTAAAACGACGTCAGACAGCGGGGTTTGCGTATGCTTTCTTTCACATCTTAGCAAAATGAGCCATACCTCTCTTCCCCCAGCCCACTCTCACATTTTATTTTATTTTAAACAGCATCCTGAAATAGAGTAGGTCTATTTGATGTTTCGGTCCTGTTGGGAAAGGTTTGGTAACTGGAGATAGCACTTGCCGTTGTAAATTATTTGCAGCACAGACTGCTCTCTTATCTCTACTGAAATGTTAAGTTAATTTAGAAAGCCAAAGGTGGTACAAGACGCAAGACTTCCTGCCACAGAAAAAAAAAATTCTGCTGTTCCAGTGGAGAATTTGCCTGGGAGCATCTAATTGCATATACCAGGGTCCACTTGTTTGTTGTAATCTTCATTTCTGATCAGTAGGAGTTCTCATCCTGTCCAAGCCCATGAAAACAAATTGGGCTTGTGTGCAACCTATAGATCTCTGACTCCAGTGAGCTCTGTGTATTGCTATAGAAGGAACAAGCCTAGCTGACAATGGGGAAGCTTCAGGTGCCATCATAAGGCCCAACTATTGGCTTATAGCTGTGGATTCTTACCAAAAGAGAACCATCTCCCTTGCAAAAAATTTTGAAGGATGCCAGCATAATGGATGGGATCAGTTCGACAGTAACTAGCAGAATAACACTGGCAATTCAACAGACCGCTATGGGGAACAGACACACTGCATTAACTGGAGGAGAATTTGGGAGTGTCAGCAGTTTCCAGGAGGCAGGTGCGGGGGTCCTCCATTAAAAATCTGGGTTTGATTTTCACAAAGTGAAAATGCGTTTCAATCCAATCCACTGGTCCCTTTTTTGTTGTACCTTTTCCATCGTCCTCCCCTTCCCCCAGAAAACTTTTAGGATTACTCAGCTGAGAAGAGCAGAAGAGGAAATGCCTCGAAAGCCATCTTGCACCTGCCTCCTCTGTGCGTGAGAGCTGGCTTTCCTGGGTGCCCTTTTCCCACGTGAAGGTGAGAAAGTGTTGGCCATCATCAATCCTCAGATTCATCTTCTTCCTGACCTAGTCGCCAAATAGTCATCCCATGCTTTTAACTGCCCTTATTTGGTTTTCTTTTCTATCAAGATTTCTTTTTAAGCTGCTGGTTCATTCCCAACAGTTAATTGCTCCCTTTAAGATGTACTTGGAAACTTTTCTTCTGCTTTCCTTCCCCCACATTCTTCCTGGTGGCCATTAATAATAATAATAAGCTTTTTGCCTTGAAAGAGCAGAAAAACCATACATGCCATCTCTTCAGAAAGCCGTGGCTGCAGTTTGCTCAGAGGAGCTGTCAAGCAGCTTCTGTTCATTTCGGTGGAGCTTGTGCAAGGCTTCGTGCATACAGCCTGTTAGAATGAACGGACATTGCTTCAGCAAAGCCTCTTGAGCAGATTGAGCCCGACTCTGCCTTTCAAACAGCAAAAAGTCCAGTCAACAAGGAAAGGTTGTGTCTGTGTTCCTTTAAGTTTTTCTGTATTCTGCTTCTTTGCTGCTATATACGATTCCTTGAGCTTATATTTTAAACTTTTCATGCACTTTACTGTTTCTAGTCTCAAAATGTGATATTTTTAATAAATGAGAATTTTTTTCCATTATGTGAATGAAAATTTTTAAAGAGCTTATATCTGTCTCATTCATATGCTTAAAAAGGAAGAATTTAAAAAAACAAAAGCGAAACAGCTGAATCGGTTTGTTGCACAAAACATATACCTTAAGTTAATTTCTTCCCACCTACCCACACTCACTTTGCTAGCTATGTATAGAACGGCAAAGGAAATTTGGAATTGGGCTAAAGAAGGAAACGCTGCCTCATTTTTGTGCATGACTATGGGGTGTAGAGGAAGGAGTTGCTTTGGTGACGACCGCAATTTGCTCTCGGAAGTGCCTGCAGCCGACAGTTCCTTAACGATTGGAATTGGTTGTATTTATGTGAAACTTTCAGGATGGAACTACATTAGGCAACAAATGCAGGGCAGGCTTGGGTCGAATTTTCCCTCTGTGTGCTTGCCAACCTTTCACATCACATCTTTGGTTCCCTCACCCCAGTGGGAATGGGGAAACACCAAACGTCACAACAGCAGCAAAGAAGGTATATTGTATTGGATTTGGAAGGGATTTGACACTGAGCTTCTCCTTTTTTTCCCCTTTTTGACAGCCGTCCTGTGTTTCTTACAACATGTAGCTCCATCCAATGTGTAGAACAGCTTATAAAGCACGACAAAGTCATCTCCTTTTCAGAGAGAGCATTTTCCCCTCCCCAATATTGGTGCAGGTATCTCTTCTTATATACCTCAAAAGTGTTACTTACACGGCCGTGTATATATGAATTGATAACTCAAATAAAATATAGTACTGGAAAGTAGAATAGCATGAAAAACTTAATTTGGTGGACATTAGCCTTTTCAGTTCTTTTTATTTTTATTTTTGTAAGGACCCAATCCGCTGGGAAGTCCTCCTGCTCCAGCCCCACTGAAATGTGCAAGAGCTGCCCAACTCCCTGTTCATTTCAGTGGGGCTTGCGCGAAATACTTCCCTCCTGGAATGTGTTCCACGTCATCTGCTGTATCTTCACTTGGGAGGTATGCACTAACAATTTTCCTCCTTTTCATATGTGCATGTTAACTAGCAATGTGAGCAATATTTCCTACCATACTTCACTCCCAACTATTTTTTTTGAGATGTTTGTATAAAGTGGAGTTTTTTTAAAAAAAAATCGCCTGTGATTGTATATGAACTGCAGAGGAGCCGGTTTATTAAATAATAATTATTATTATTAATAAAAACCCACCAATCTTTTGTAATGCTGTTGGGAGGTTGGGGGTGGGGAATAAAATAAAAATATTGGGAAACATTGCAAACAGTTTAAGTTCCTCTTTTTGTTTAGCTGTAATTAGCCGATGCAGTCGGGGGTTGAGATGGCTTTCCTCTGCTTCAAAGTTGACTTGTATCTTAACCTGTGTAACTTTCTTGGTTTTTCTCTCCGTCTTTAAAAAAAAACACCACCTGTTTGAAATGTCCCACAATTCTTTTCTTTAAGCAGTTGTTGTTTCGTTGGCCATAGAAGCGCCAGGAGGAGGTTTCCGTTGCTGGAAGGACTTTGTGCCTTCAAGTTTTCCACATACCAAAGTGTTGGTTTAAAAGCAGAGACTGGAAATATTTGTTCAGAACAAGGGCTGAATTTTCTTCTGGGGCCACATACCAATGCTGGGTGGATCCAGAGGCAAAAAGTAGGTGGAACAGTGAATGTAATCTTACGTTTGTACAGTCGGCTAGTTGCTACACAGACACACACACCCCATGCAGGGAAGCAAGAGAAATTAACAGCGTTTGATTGCAAGAGGTGTTCCAATCAGGCAGGAACACTCAAAGAAGGTGCAAAGTAGGGCTGTGTGTGTGTGGCTGAGGACACTAGGAAGACAGAACCTCTTCTTTCCAGACACTCTTCCCCATGTGAAGAGACAAGTTCATTAAATCAGGGCTGTTTTCTATGGGGACAGCTGGATGCACTGGGCATATCCACCTATTCTTAATTCCCCCCCCCCCCTGTTTTCTTAATTATTCTTAATTTCCCCCCCCCCCCTGTTTTCAAAAGGAAATATTGCATTGCACAATGTCAGGTAATCGTAAACACTGCTGTCAGTATGCTGAGATGTAGAAGCTGGTTCATGTTAAAGTGTTTCCTCCACAAAAGCCCCTTAAAGGTCTACTGTGACCCTACATTAGGGTGGAACCTGAAAAGGACGTTGCAGTTGAACAAATCGCAATGGTTATGTGTGTAAAAACCCCAAGTGTCGGAAGTCCCACTCGTCACGCACAGCAGCACCTCCGTGTGTCCTAAGGCATTGCTGGAAACTAATAAAATGTATACAGGCGTCTCCCCATTGACACACATCTGCGTGGTGCCGGGAAATAAATAAATCAGTTTAAACCGCAGAAAGGCACAGAAAGAACAGGGAAAACTGCAAAAAGAGAGGGGAAATGACTAGCAACCCAAATGCCATTGTACCGCCCTTAAGAGTCCTGTGGAGGGTTGGCATTAGAGAAAGACGGTTTGGAGGGAGCGATTGTGGAGTTTGGTGGAGTTTTGGCTTTTCAGATGGTGTTCCCCCCCTATACACAATTTCACGGTACCCAGGAATGTAGCCCCTGTGTAAGTGGAGAGACGCCTGTGTACCGTTAAGTGTTGGCACACAGTATGTTTTCAGAAGAAAAGTTGATCATTAAATTTAATGTGAGCCCCCCCCCAAAAAACTTTATTAACAGGCAGAACTGTGAAAAAACTAACCCACCCACCTACCCAAAGTTCTACTAGTGTGGATTGTAGGCAGATGGGCAGCCTCTGGGATGGTCCATTAATGGCTCTGGGGAAAGGTATTGCTTATTGCCTATTGCTGACTTTTTGAGGTAAAAATGGCTTGCTTCTCCGTTTTCCATTCTGATTAAACAAGGCATAGGGAGAAGGCTAGTATTGTAATCCACTTTCCCGTCAACAGACTTGAAAGGTTTTTTTCCTTATCTACAAACAGGATCATCAACAAAGAATTTAATTCCTCTTTATCAGTAAGCATGTTGTGTGAGAAGAAGAAGAAATTCATTCTGTCAGAAATCCCCAGTACTACTTAGATCCACACCCTGTTCAACATTACATTTTTAGGTAGAATTAGCCATACACCTCTCTGAACCTGAGAGATCTGTGTTCATGATTTAGACTATGGATTACCACTCGTCAGAGACGAAGCAGGGAGGGTTCGCATTTTGCTTAGGCTGCCTTGGTGTGCATCTTTAATGCATTAGTGTTATGTATTTGACTCTGAATACATCTTAACACTTAAGAGGGGGGGAAACCAAACTTGGAACGCATCTGTATGCATGTGTGCAGGCTTCTGAGCTCTTGCTTTGGTAAAATGGGACTGGACAAATTCATTGAAAATAAGCCTGAATGGCTATCTGGCATCATGTCCTTTATTCGTCCTTCTTGCGTATATTTTTCAGCTACACCACGCTAGAGTTTTATTGCATTTGGTTCAGAGCTTTCCAGGTATAGCTGGGTGGCACCTCTTTGAAACCGAATGCAGGACTTCTGCATTCTGTGTGACCCACCAAAACGTTGTGTTCTTACAATACCATTGACACTTGTATTAGCAGATAGGAATTCATTCCCAACACACATAGCAAGGACCACTGGCACAGATACGGCTTCAGAAGAGGATAACATGAATGGAGTACTGTCAATGGAATAAGAATAAGGCTATCAATGACTACTAGCCATAATTGCTATGTTCTGCCTGTTGTGGCTAGGTTGTGTCTGAATGTCAGGGAGGGAGAGGGTGCTGTTGCATTCATGTCCTGCTTTTGGACTTCTCATGGTCAGCCACTGCAAGAATTGGATGCTGGACTAGATGGGCCTTTGGCCTGATTCAGCAGGATCTTACGTTCCGATTAGGGCAAGAGTTTGGAAACTTTTTAGAAAGACAGCCCTGCAAAGAAGACAACAAGTGCCTAGGTGTGAGCAGGACTTGGGGCTCAGATTTGGAATTTGTGCTAGACCAGTGTTTCCCAAACTTGGGTCTCCAGTTGCTTTAGAACTACAACTCCCGTCATCCCTAGATAGCAGGACCAGTGGTCTGGGATGATGGGAATTGCAGTCCAAAAGCAGCTGGAGACCCAAGTTCAGGAAACCCCGGTCTAAACTCATGAGTAATGGAAGCTTCTTTAACTAGAAGAGGAGCTCTCTTTCCTTTTGCAATGTAACATCGCCCAATTATCCGAGCTATTTGGCACATTTTGAGCAACGTCTCTGCTGATAATGTAGAAATTGCACAGTAGCCGTTCAGTATAATTGTTTAATGGCTGCTGGAAGCATTCGTCTTTCTTAGTGCTAATTTGCATTCTTGGTGCTTTATTCCAAATGAGCCAAAGCCGTCACTGATGTCCACCGTTCGACCATCTCAGAAGGGCACAGTGGTTTTAAAGTGTGGTTTTGAAGATATATATATAATTACAAGATAGAAAGCATGACAGGGCAGCACTGCATCACTGTTTCTTTGGGTTCCTTGTGCATTTTTCCACCTTCAGGAAGACTCCCATTTGCGGTCACTGGCTGCTATATGTTGAAATTAGTAAAAGAGAAACTGGTTAAATTCCATTACTTAAGCCATGACTGTCACAGATGTTCTTCGCAGTAAGGATGGCACATTCATAAGTGGCTCCCATCAGAAGCGATAAGGAACAAGTGTAGTGCCCTGGCTGTTTGTTGTTGTGGAGGGATTTGGGCACCCTTCACCTCCCCCAAAAGTAAAAATAATACCTCTGAGTGTTCAAATTAAGCTACTTTATAATCCTTACACAACCCAGCAAAGTAAGCTAGTATTGTCCCCATATTGCAAATGGAGAGCAGAGATTCCTTGCCCTAAGGTCAGCTAGTGACAGCTGCATACTTAAACCATACATTTAAAGGACATGACTTCCACCTTGGGAGCCGCAGTTTCTTGAAATTGTAGCTCTGTCAGGGTTAAACTGCAATTTCCAGGAATCTTTGGGAGAAGTCATATGACTTCCTTAAGGTGTGTAAGGCTTTAAAAATGAGATCATGGTAGACCGAACTGCAGACTTCCTCATTCATGGCACAGTCCCTTTGCTGTTAGTGTTCAGGCTAAACTGGACATATAGGAAAATCAATCATAACCTTTTAAAAAAAAAAAAAAAACCACCACCACCCTACAACCTGCTTCTTGAATGAAAAGTAGCACCTGGAGAGGAACCGTTTTCAGAAGAGAAGCAGGAGGAGGGAAGAGGGACTTGACCCTTTCCTGTAACCACGTTCTTGTTGCAACCCTCCTCAGCTGCTTTCCCCCAGCAGAATTACAGGTGTATGCTGAGCTTGAACCTCATGGGAATGGTGTGTAGAAGCTGTGAAAAAGCAGGGTGTTGGGTTAAGCATCCCTCGCTGCAGCTCCTCTAAAAGGCACCTCCTCCTACTGCTTTTCAGCAGAAAACCGTGCATGGATTAGCTCAGCGATTCATGCCATCTACACAGGGATTTTGTGTTCTTTGCTCTGGGACGGGACATTAAAGAATGCTTGGTTTTTCAGATTTTTCCTATGATTCAGGTGACTTGGACTATTCAACAATAACACACAATCATATTTTAAGGGACAGGTGTGAAAGGTCCCCATTTCTAGAATTTTTTGGTCATTGGGGTGCCTTAGACGATGTGTGTGCCAAGCGTTAGTTTTTCCTGGTTATACACTGAGAGTTTGGGCTGCTTGGCTTGCATTTACCCATGTAGCAAATTTCAGACTTAACTTCTGCATGAAAGATGAAGGGAAGAGCTTCAGCTCAGTGGTAGAGCATGCAAGTATCCCTGGATTAAGTCTCTGGCATTTATAGGTGGGGCTGAGAAAGACTTGGGTCTGAAACCCTGGAGAATCGCTGCAAGTTCTTCTAGATCAGTGTTTCCCAAACTTGAGTTTCCAGCTCTTTTGGGGTTACAACTACCATCATCCCTGGCTGGCAGTTATAGTCTGTTTTAGTTTATGGCTACCAGATTTTTTTTAATGAATCTGGGAACACCTTTTTTAAAAGCTGAGTAGCAACAGGGAGTCAGTAGTGGGGATGGAGAGGCAAAAGACCCTGGGCCCAAGCACACATGCATATTGTATAAAGGTGCAAAGCCCTTCTTTCGCACCCTGTGAAACATAAATGCATAGAGGTTTTTAAAAAACTGGGCAATGGCGCACCCCGCGCCCGTGACTCCCGAGCCTTCCCCGATCTTCCCCCTTTGTTTTGACAGATCGGGGGAGGCTCAGGAATCATGGGCGGGCAGGCGTTGCCCAGGAGGAGCCAGCCTGGTAGTGCAGTTGGCTCTGGCTGGCTTCAGGAGCTGCTGGCTGCTCACTGCCGTGGCGCAGGAAAATGGCGGGCGCCGTGGCAGTGAGCAGCTCCTGAAGCCAGCCAGAGCCAACTGCACTACCAGGCTGCTGAGGCTGCCGCTGCCACGTTTCCCGGGGACAGATTTGCAAATCTGGGGACATCCTGAGGATGGAATTTGTCCGGGGACAGATTTGCAAATCCAGGGACTGTCCCCGGGAACTGGGGACGTCTTGTAACCCTATTCTAGATGATACTAAGCTAGATTTGTGAATGCCCTGACTTGGTACAGGGCTGGTTCTTGCGCCAGTGAGCAGCTTGATTAAGCATATAATATCTACATTGGCTGGATGCAGGTGAGAACAATATTAGGACCACTGCTTTTTGCGTGTTGCTGGAATTTTTTCTTGACTATCAAATAAAACTCCGCATTCTCCTAAATCAGGAGGCCCTCATATTTTGGGAGGCTTCAGGGCACTTCTGCAAATCTGTTGCGGGCAACATATAACACCTGTTTTGCAGAAGGAAAACTGGCACAGCTCAGAACCCTCCCTGTAAAAGGAGCAGAATACCTACAATCTCCCCCCAAACAAGCAAAATTCATACAGAAAGTCAAGCAAGCCCTTCCACCAAGCAGCTAAACAAACAAACAAAAACCTTTTTTTAAAAAATGGAGGGTCTGAGGGCCTTGGTAGGTGCCAAGGGAAGTCACCAAGGAAGCCCCAGCTGTAACTGAATATGCAAAATCGTACCTCTTTATCAGCCTCTTCAGCAATTTCTGCACCCACTGGGCAGTAGGTGCCACACAGACCTGCCATTTGCTTTTCAGGGTTAATCTGAAACGTAAGGATGAGGTCATTATTAGCGTTCTTCCTCACCCTCTTCAAAATGGTAGGATGTGGGCGTGCTGGCTTCACTTACATTATTTCTGTCCTCCCGCACTGTATTCCCTTGGGAATGACTTGAATGGATTGGATCTGTTTTGGGCCAAAGGCCGTGAAGGTGTGCTTCTGGCATTTGCAACTTCCCATGTGGACTAGGTGACCCTCCATAGCAAGACCTTTGTGAAAACACCACAAGAAATACTCAGATTCCTGCACGCATAATGTTAATTTCATTCTGTGTTTATGCTTCCTTTACTACAAAGAGTTTCGGGTGACATGGAAGGCCCCCCTGCACTGATTCTCCCAGTAGCCCTGCGAAGTAACTTAGGCTGAGATATACTTAACAGATAGAACAGGTCCCTGTGAGCTTCACTGCTGAGCAAGGGTTGAGCCCAGATTCCCCCAGTCCTAGCAAGGGGTGGACTTGTAGGGCAGAAGATAAGGGACCCAACGTTAGGTGCAGCCAGAGTCAAACTAACTCTAGCTTTGTCCCCATCCTCCCTGCTGAGCTTGACAAGTCACAAGAGCAGCAGATAGTAAGGAAGAAGGAGGCTGATAGGCAGTACTACCCCCTGGACCAAGATTGTAAGAAAGAGGTCAGCCAAGTGAGATTGACTTAGGTTGGTGGGTCAGGGTCCTATTAACTAACGGAGCGGCCTCCACTGGTCTTAGCCCAATGCTCTTAGCAAATTATTATTGTAGGGGGTATGCAGTGGACATACAGTAGGTCCTTAAACAGCAAGAAAGAGATGCGCCGTTTTGCCTTACGTCCCAGCCCGATCCCTAAAGCAATTTGCAGAGCTCCTGCCTGTCCCATGCTGGTTCTGCAAGCAAGGGCAGACATATTTGGCTAGCTGAATAAATGACTAGCAGTGCTCAGAACCCTAAAAAGAGCAAAAGACCTACAGATGTTTTGCACGTGAGCTGGAGGGACGCTGCAGCTTGCACAGCTGATGCACGAGGAAGCGGAGGCTGCTGAGCTACCCTGCAAGTCAGAGAGGGTCTCCTCGTGAGCCAGGAAGACTCCCCAGGATGCTCCCAATATACGCAATTTCAGTTACATCTGCAAAGGCGTAGATCATAACCCCCACATAAATAGGGAGTTTCCTGTACCATAAGCCTGTTGTGCAATGGGATAAACGCACGTCCTTTTCATACAGGAGCGTGTACCCTAAACCCATTGAGTCCTTGTTGGGCTTTCCTCTTCATGCACTTAAAGGTAAAGGGACCCCTGACCATTAGGTCCAGTCATGGCCGACTCTGGGGTTGCGGCGCTCATCTTGCTTTCTTGACCGAGGAGCTGGCATACAGCTCATGTGGCCAGCATGACTAAGCCGCTTCTGGCTAACCAGAGCAGTGCACGGAAATGCCATTTACCTTCCCGCCGGAGTGGTACCTATTTATCTACTTGCACTTTGATGTGCTTTTGAACTGCTAGGTTGGCAGGAGCTGGGACCGAGCAACGGGAGCTCACCCCGTCGCGGGGATTCGAACCGCCAACCTTCTGATCGGCAAGTCCTAGGCTCTGTGGTTTAACCCACAGCGCCACCCGTGTCCCTCACTTCATGCACTTCCAAGGGCATAAATGGGAGACTGGGGTCACATTTCTTGGCCTCATCTTGACCCTTCTGGTGCCTCAGCCCATGTGCCTCCAGCATGTTGCAAGGGTAACGTTTTGCAGCAGGAAGCCTGCTGTAAGCCTAAGGACTTCAGAGCACGAGAGAGGCAGACACCCCAGGCGACAAGGGCGCATCAAATGTGGCGGGGGGCAGGAAGCGCAGCCTCGCTCTTCCCCCTTGTGCAATTGAAATTGCATGAGGGAAGCACCCAAAAGGGGCTGTGGAAAGAGGAAGGATTGCACCTGCCCCCCCAACCTTTGAAACATTCGCTTGACCCATATTTTGATTGTTTTGTGTACCGATTCATTTTCTCAAGTCCCAGAGCTTTTATGTTGTTCTGCAGCTGTGCCTTGCGAAATCCGATCTTACCTGCCGAATCAGATCTTACCAGGTGCACAGAAAATCCAAAGAGAGGTTTTGCTTAAAAAACGAGCTTCAGTTCAGCGGGTAAGATCTGATTTTTGAGAGGCACGGCTGCAGAAAAATGAGAAAAGCCCTCAGAACCAGGGGAATTAAACAATACCCGATACGATCAAAATACGGGTCAAGCAAAATGTGAATAAGCCCTAAGAACATACAGCTAGGTGCATGGCAGTTCTTTTTTATTGTTGAATGACAAATTATGAAAGAAGAAAGAAAGGAAGGAAGGAAGGAAGGAAGGAAGGAAGGAAGGAAGGAAAAGAAAACACACATAAGTTAATGTTACATGAGTTATTTATGCTTCTAATAATACCAATAATAATACTACAATAGTAATAGGACAGTCAACTAAGCATTGACTAAATATAATGACTTTACACAAACACACAAAGAAGTTTCATATCTTGTTTTTCTATCTTATTTAAGATGAAAGAATAAAATGTGAAGTCTTCTGTATAATGACGTGAAATTCCATTGTATTTCTATATGTCTCCAAACAGCAAATTCAGATTTATTTGTTCTTCCCCAGTTACATTTGCGAACAGAGTTATCTTTGATTTTGCCTTCCTTCTCTTTCTCAATTTGGGGGTTTATTCATACGTGGCAGACTCTGGTGACCCAGGAATTTACTGCCAGCAGAAGAGGTTTCTCCAGGTTCTGCAAATTTCGTCCCCAACTTCTCTACGTTTAATCAAAGGTCAGCGCAAACAGTTGAGTGTATTTCAGCTCTGCATCATGTACAGTAGAATACTCTGTTATTTGTGGAGTGTGTGGTCATGTGGAGAGAGCCTGTGCCCTTGCCACTGGCACATGTATACATTCTGTTTCTACCTTCCGCTGAAGTTGGTGAGAGTTGTGAGCAAACGTAATGGGTGTGATCACAATTTTCATTCAGCCGCCACCACCACCCAGCTTTGCAGTCACTGAATATGCAAAAATGAATTTTGCAAACAATAATGCAACATGTTTGAGACCCAAGAGACGCAAAGCCTGTTTTGCAAGGACAGGGTATTTGTGGATTTGTCTGAGTTAGGGATGGGTGAATTTGCCAGTTTCAGTCTTTCTCAGTTTCTCTTTTTTTCTGCCTTAAATCCAGTTCTCCCCATTTCCATATCGGTTTGCAATTTGTAAAAAAAGTCATCACGAAAATTCACCATCCTTTTAGTACATATTTCTCTTGCTGCATTTTAATGCAATTTTGCCAAATATACACATCTTTGCCTAATAATTTTTGCATCCCTAATATACATTTTTAGGCACACCTGCAGTACATGCATTTTAGTACACATTACTTAGCTGGAGAACTGCACTGCAAGATTCAGACAAGTTCAAATTATGAAGGAAAGCTGAGTTTTGGTTCTCATATTAATCCAGCAAGTGCTAATTAGGCACGTTGGCCTTGAAATGCAAACAGGATCAAATTTCTCCCCTATCTCTAATCTTAGTACTGTCTGTTCTGACTACACACAAGCCCAAGGTCTCTGGCTGAATCCTTCCCCCAGCTGCCTGATCCCTTTTAACTCCAGGGATTGAAGTGGAGACCTTCTACATAAAAACATGTGCTCTACTGCTGAGCTCTGCTCCCTCCCCCTGGTGCACATCATTTCAAACAAAAAGCCATCAAATAAAGTTCACAATGCAAGCAACAAGATAGCAAACATAGGTCGCTTCACAAAAGGAGGAACACTGGTACCCAAAAACTCTCTATCAAGCCGACCGTGACTGTTTATTTATTTTACATTTCAATCGCACCTTTTCTCCCAGGTGCTCAAGGTGGCATAGATGGTTCTCTCACTCCCCATTCCAGCCTCACAACAACCCTGTGAGGCAGGTTAGGCTGAGAGAGAGTGTGTGTGATGGGTTCAAGGTCACCCGACGAACTCTGTGGTCGAGTGCAGATCAGAACCCCGGTATCCCAGATCCTACCAGGACACTGTGTCCACTAACCACTGAACTGACTCTTTTACATTACAGTGGTACCTCAGGTTACATACGCTTCAGGTTACAGACTCCGCTAACCCAGAAATATTACCTCAGGGTAAGAACTTTGCTTCAGGATGAGAACAGAAATCGTGCTCCGGCAGCACAGCAGTAGCAGGAGGCCCCATTAGCTAAAGTGGTACCTCAGGTTAAGAACAGTTTCAGGTTAAGAACAGACCTCCAGAACGAATTAAGTTCTTAACCCGAGGTACCACTGTATTGTTTTATGACTCTCGTTTTTGCACTCTTGTTTCCTGCTGTTGTTGTAAACAAAAATAGCCCTTTTCCTTTATGGGGTATCCAAGAGCCCATATAGAGTCCTTACATAGGTTCCCTATTGGTAGGAGAAAATAACAGAGGCCAACCAGAGAATATTGAGAAGCAAAGCAGCTAGTACGCTTGATCTTTATTGATCTGTTGCAACAGGGTGCTCCCCTCACATGGAGGAAAGGAGGAGGACCCAGAAAAATCGCATGCAAGGCCTTATAAAGACTTTTGAAATTCCCATCCTGTAGATCAAGACCACCCCCAGAAACATCATACATACACACACACACACACACACACACACACAAGCTGTCTAAAAGAGAACATTTGCATGTTGTTTTTCTCCTGTCGCTGTTTATCTCCTGTCTGGCAGGTTACTTGATTGGATTTCCTGGGTAGCCTGGTCATTCTTTTGTAGTGATAAATACTTAGTTCCTGGGCCAGGTCACAGGCTCACACCTTATTCAAACACAGATATACGCTTAAGACAGGATTTGTGAAGGAAAAGACAATGGGGAGGCTTTTCCACTTTGACCTTGCAGAGAAAACATTTGGTCAGTTTAGGAATCAAAATGGTTCCAGGTTGGTCTTCCTGTGCTGATCAATGTATGTGCAGTTATGAACATTACCATATATCTAAGACCATAAAATTCCTATCACACTGTAAAGGGCTGGCTCTGCCATGCGGCAGAGTGAAACAAAAAAGATCCCTTCTGTTGCAAACAGAACAATCTAACAATCCAAAGGCAACAGGGTAGGCCAATAATATAATTGCAATACTTTTATATCACTACTGTATGTAGTGTAAGTTATTTGATTGTAAATTAAGATATAATTCAATAGCGATATAAAAGTATTGTAATTATATTATTAGCCTGCTGTGTTGCTTTTGGATTCTCAGATGAGGCAGAGTGAGGCAGCTGCCTCGGTTGGCAGATGCCAGGAGACGGCAGAGAGCGATGGCAAGGGATTGGAGGGCAGAGTGGTCCATATCCCACAGCCCATTTCCCCAAGCTCTTCCACAGCCATTTGGAGAGTGCAGGATGCTTCCCCACTGCCACAACATCATAGAATGATCGCTCCAATCCTCTGTCCCTCGTCACTTTTATGTTGGCTTCATTTCCAATCAATGCAGAGACCCCCCACAACTTTCTGCCGAAATCCCTTAACTTCTTCACCACAAATTCTCTGGTTTATTTTTGTCCGGCTTTGATTGCACTAGAGCCCCTTCGGACAGCAATAATGTGGAAGCCTTGGGGGACAAACCAAAGAATAAATTGTGATTGCTCCAGCTAGACACGCTGAACTTACACGAATAGTTCTCCTTTCAATTGTGGATTCTAGCCCCAAACAGGTGAGTGATGGAAAGACAGTTTGCACTAGCTCAGAACACCGTTTTCATAATTAGTTAACACCTTCCAGGGTTGGCTTCTATCAAAGCCCAGCTTCAGATTCGGAGAACTGACAGTGCAAAGCTGAAAGCAGACCCAGGCTACTCACCACAGAGAGGGACTATGTTGCTTGCAAGCAGCGCTAAGCCCAGGAACACCACCATCAACGACTTCATTGTGGCCGCACCTTGATATTCACAGCGATTGTGCTTTGTGGGTGGATGAGGGGAACCCTCTCTTTATAACCACCCTGGAAAAGGGAACTTTCAGATACAGTATTAGGTGGGTGGGAGGGAATCCACACAACACATCAACAAATATATTTGTGTGAGTCTGAAAATCCCCCATGCTTTTGTGCTTCCTCAAGTCTAAATAAAGAGATGCAAATGGGAAAGAGAAACCAGGAGCCCATCCTACCCATTGAGCACAAAACAACCCTCTCCTGCTGCTCCTGTTTCTGCCGATCTCCCATTCTCTGGCCAAGCAGCGATTTCCACGTCTCGGCCAATCCCAAGGGTTCCCGTTTGCGCCTGCAAAAGCTTTGGGGTGGGAAAGGTTCCAGTTGGCTGGCATCCTGTAGCTTCCTCCCGAAATCCTGCAACTTTCGCGGCCGCAAATGTTCGTGGTTGGACATGGTTGTGTCCTGCTTTTCTTGCGCTGTAGTTCAAGACTTGTCCCTCCAAATAGAAATAACACAGAAAATTTGGGGAAGCATCGCAGAATAATAATAATAATAATAATAATAATAATAATAATAATAATTTATTATTTGTACCCCGCCCATCTGGCTGGGTTTTTCCAGCCATTCTGGGCAGCTTCCAACAAAGACATAAAAAACAGTAAAATGTCATACATTAAAAACTTCCCTGAACAGGGTTGACTTCAGATGTCTTCTGAACGTCAGGTAGTTGTTTATCTCTTTGACATCTGATGGGAGGGCATTGCACAGGGTGGGTGCCACTACCGAGAAGGCCCTCTGCCTGGTTCCCTGTAACCTCGCTTCTCGCAATGAGGGAACCGCCAGAAGGCCCTTGGTGCTGGACCTCAGCGTCCGGGCAGAACAATGGGGGTGGAGACGCTCCTTCAGGTATACTGGGCCGAGGCTGTTTAGGGCTTTAAAGGTCAACACCAACATTTTGAATTGTGCTCGGAAACAAGTTAATACAGCAGAATGATGTGCAGACACTCTGAAATAAATCCATCAGCAACTATTGCTTCAGTAACATGTTGCAGAGGACAAGCTCAAAAAAACCCCCAACTCACCAGTCTGGGGCGCCTTTAATGGATGATGTGGGAAGGAGGGAAAGTTGGTTAGAGACTGTGGCACACGCGAAGGGGCTCATGACCCTTTGCCACTGTCTCCAGGCTCAATCAGAGTAACCCATTTCATGCGGAAGCCGTGTGGCATGCTTGTGTGAAGCGAACACGTCCTGTCGCATGCGCATGTAGCCGCCTGAGGACTTTGGGGGAGCCTCAGCCCCCATGGCCCCACATAGATGGCACGCCTAGCCTGTGGGGTGGGGCTCAAAGCCAGTTTCTCCTCTGTGAAAAAAGACAGTCACGGAACCAAGAAATTACATAAAGCAAAAGAATTACCGTGAAAATCCCTGAAACGAGAAGTAATCGACTAAAGAATTGAATTAAATAACAAAAATCAAAAAATAAACTAGCTTTACGGGATGCCGGCTACAAAACTCGTTTCACTGAACTAATCAGTTTCCTCAGAAGGAAATTATAATATTTTAAATGATATCAAACAAGCTCAAGAGCAGGGCTGAAAACGCTTCCTCGAGTTTACAAAAAAGGTATGAAAACCTCAATGACCAGTTTTAAAGATAGCTCTGTTTAAAAGAATCAGGCAGTAGTGATAAGAAATTGAAGTTTTAAGTTTTAAGCAAACTCAAAAAAACGGGGCAGAAACTCAAAAAAGTTTTAAACATAGCCCTGTTAAGAAATTGAGATTTAACATCAGCAGTCAGGAGCACTTCAGCCCTGTTTTTGAGTCTATTTGAAACTTAAAATCTCAATTTTTTGGTGTAGTTTCTCCTCTGTGGCAATGGTATTCCATGGTACCTTTGGCAGCTGGTTAGGCTTCCAAATTCCTGCATTGTAGGGGGTTGAAATAGATGACCCTCAGGGTCCCTTCTAACTCGGCCATGCTATGATTCAAATGTGCCCTGGGCTTGAAAAGACTGGCGACCCTTGACCTAAGAGCAATTCCTGAGGTTACAAGTGTCTTCCCACATGGACTGACTTCTTTACAAGTAGGGTAATTCCTGCTTTTGTCTACGGTACTATTTGCTTAGCGTTTTACAGGAATTGGTCACGATCGGGCACAATAAACCATTCAAGAGCTTTCCTCTTTGGTAAGGCTGGCTTTCAACTTGTACAGTGGTACCTCGGGTTAAGAACTTAATTCGTTCTGGAGGTCCGTTCTTAACCTGAAACTATTCTTAAACGGAGGTACCACTTTAGCTAATGGGGCCTCCTGCTGCCACTGCGCCACCAGAACACGATTTCTGGTCTCATCCTGAAGCAAAGTTCTTAACCCGAGGTACTATTTCTGGGTTAGCGGAGTCTGTAACCTGAAGCGTCTGTAAGCTGACCCGAGGTACCACTGTAGTTTAATACAGCAACTCTACTGAGAATATAAGTAGTAGTAGTAGTAATAATAATAATAATAATAATAATAATTTTTATACCCTGCCCATCTGGCTGGGTTTCCCCAGCCGCTCTGGATTGCTCACAACAGAATATTAAAAACACGATAAAACATCAAGCATTAAAAACTTCCCTAAACAGGGCTGCCTTCAGATAGCTTCTAAAAGTCAGATAGTTGTTTGTTTCCTTGATATCTGATGGGGGAGTTCCATAAGGCGGGCGCCCCTACTGAGAAGGCCCTCTGCCTGGTTCCCTGTAACCTAATTTCTCGCCGGTGGGGTATAGTGGTTAAGAGCGGTGGACTCGTAATCTGGTGAACCGGGTTCGTTTCCCCGCTCCTCCACATGCAGCTGCTGGGTGACATTGGGCTAGTCGCACTTCTTTGAAGTCTCTCAGCCCCACTCACCTCACAGAGTGTTTGTTGTGGGGGAGGAAGAGAAAAGAGAATGTTAGCCGCTTTAAGACTCCTTAGGGTAGTGATAAAGTGGGATATCAAATCCAAACTCTTCTTCTTCTTCTTCTTCACAGTGAGGGAACCACCAGAGGGCTCTTGGAGCTGGACCTCAGTGTCTAGGATGAAAAATGGGGGTAGAGACATGTTTTGCTTGGTCATACCTAAATGTCTCAGTGGAGACCCACTGAGGCTGCCCCATCCATTGCAGCCCATCCGCAGCCACTCTCCCTGCCCACACCTGCCTGCCTTTTTACTTACAACCAATCTTGGGGGTGGTGTTGCCCACCAGCTCCCTCCTCCTTAGGTTTGCCCCTTATAGAACTTAGCAAGGAGGATGAGTCAGCTCTGCCAGCTGCTGGCTTGGGCGCCCCCTGCTGTTGACCTCCCTGCCTTATGCCCCACCAGCCACCACTGACGAGTCTTCTTTCTTCTACATCAGGATGTGTGGAAAGGGGTGGGGCCCGGATTCACACCCACACATATGTCACGACTTGTGTAGGTCAGTTGGCCCACGACCTGTCCAACATGGGCCTGCTATCTGTTGCTATGCCACCACGCTTCAACCGTTGTGACCAGCAAAGCATGTACAATCCCAGCAAAACATCAGGAGTTTTCTTTTTTTTTATATAAGATATTTATTAGGATTTTTTTTTAAATATTACAATAAAAAATGAAAAAGAAAAAAGAAAATACAAAATAAAAATGATTAAAAACACTCAGATTTTCCATTGCTTATTTTTCTTTAGCTTGTTTCCCGGACCTCCTCATACCTCCCTTTTTTGTATTCCAGTTCAGTTTGTTGGTTCAGCAAATCCTTACCCTCTTTGTTTATCCTAATCTTTGGTCTTAAAATAGTAACGTTAGATTTTTACCTCTTAACAACCCCTTTTTCATATTCCCTTAAAGCATTACAGCTAGAAACCACTTAATTTCTATCCAACATCGTTCTAACATTCATTAATTTTACAATATTTCTGTAGATAATCTTTGAACTTCTTCCAATCTTCTTCCACCGACTCTTCTCCCTGGTCTCGGATTCTGCCAGTCATTTCTGCCAGTTCCATATAGTCCATCAGCTTCATCTGCCATTCTTCCAGAGTGGGTAGATCTTGTGTCTTCCAATACTTTGCAATGAGTATTCTTGCTGCTGTTGTGGCATACATAAAAAAGGTTCTATCCTTCTTTAGCACCAATTGCCCGACTATGCCCAGGAGGAAGGCCTCTGGTTTCTTCAAGAAGGTATATTTAAATACCTTTTTCAGTTCATTATATATCATTTCCCAGAAAGCCTTAATCCTTGGGCACGTCCACCAAAGGTGAAAGAATGTACCTTCAGTTTCTTTACATTTCCAACATTTGTTATCGGGCAAATGATAAATTTTTGCAAGCTTGACTGGGGTCATGTACCACCTGTATATCATTTTCATAATATTCTCTCTTAAGGCATTACATGCCGTAAACTTCATACCTGTGGTCCATAACTGTTCCCAGTCAGCCATCATTATGTTATGACCAACATCTTGTGCCCATTTAATCATAACAGATTTCACCATCTCATCCTGAGTATTCCATTTCAACAGCAAGTTATACATCTTTGACAAAATCTTAGTTTTGGGTTCTAATAGTTCTGTTTCTAATTTTGATTTTTCCACCTGGAAACCAATTTTCTTATCCAGATTATATGCCTCCATTATCTGATAATAATAAAGCCAAAACATCAGGAGTTTTCATGCTTTCCAGTAGTCAGCCTTCTCCAGAGTTCCTGGTTAAGAACACTCTTTCCCTACTTGGCTGAAATTAAAGTATGAAAATACCTAGGCTAGAATAAATCACAGACATGCAGCTCCGCCACACACTCCCTGGCCAGTTGCAAGAAGGTGGGTAGGTAGGTGTGGGATCGGATAAGGACAAGTGGAGCTTGGTGGGCCAGTGTCCCCTCTTAACCTCTGCTGCACTAAAGGGCAGATGTGATGTCCTGGGAATCTGATTCAGAGGCTGAACCTGAGGAATCCCAGCCTGCATAGGAGTCCCCACCTCCAGGGCCGGCTG